AAGCGCCACCTGCGATCGGCTACCGCAAGCCCGGTGAATCTGGAAATAGATCCTCAAGGAAAACAGTGGCCATTCAGTCACAAAAAAGAAGTTCAACCTTACAATTCTGTTCAGGTATATTACTATCGCTGGCAACGATGCTCTTTGTAGCAATCTGCAACATCGGATGGGACGGCTTCTCTACCAACGTGTCGTACACAATCAACCTGGTAGCGATTGGTGTGGTGGCGTTTGGCTGCACGGTACAACAGGCCTCGTACTACGGGTTTACAGGCTGCCTACCCCCTAGGTACACGCAAGCTGTGATGGCTGGCGAAAGTAAGTCTTACATTTTTCATAAAAAGCTGTTTATGTCATCAGTTCACTTGAAGTTAAGTATTTGGTACCTATTACTACCTGCGAACACATGACTTTATTGTTTTAATTATTAAGCGCCTGCAGTTATTTAACAGGATAATTAATATTATTTTTCAACAGGCGCTGCTGGTTTTTGGGTATCTATCGACCGGATTGTAACGAAGTACGGATTCAGACAGCCACGACGGAGCACCTTCATGTTCTTTGTATTCTCCATTCTCATTTTGCTGGGCCATTCGATGCTGCATCACGTGATGATGCGGCATCCTCTGGTGCAATACTATCTCAAATTGACCAACGAATCTCGACACAGGCGACGTATTCAGCTGCATTTAAATCCCAATGAAGATGCGACATTGGTAAGAGGCAACTTTGTAACTTTATAAATTCCATTTACAGTTAACATATTTAAATACCTTTACTATACGACCATGTTGTGAAATTCAAACTAATATATAAAACTGTTGTGTATTTAAAACAAAAAGTGTGCTATAGTATTTTATAAAATTTATCAGTATTTATGACACGGTTACATTTCAGATGGAAAGCGAATCAGGGGACGGTGCTTTCGGTGTACTAAAATTGCAAAGTCCTGCTCTCTCTAACACAGGAACTGGTAAGTTTTAATCTCTGATCTTCATAATTATTATATTTGAATACAGAATAAAGGTAACTTTTCCACAGTGGATGGTGAGAATACGTTTAGCTTCGCGAACCCTGTGTACTCTCCGACGGCCACCATTCCTGTGACGTCAGCACCACTTGCGTCGCCACCTCCCAGCGTGTCGGAGGCATCACCTGCGCTGCGCACACCACGACCCTCATATAAGGTCGAAGACGTCGTGGTCGAGTCACCTGAACGACCAACCTCCTGGCGGAGCTTCAAACGTAAGTTGATTTTCAAATGTTTATATATCAGGATCGAAATTGTGGCATACTTAATTTTGTATCTAATTTTAATTATATTGCAACTATGTTCGTTCCTACTCTCCCTAAACACTTCAATTTATGTTGTTAAACGCTTAACCTATTTAAACCAAATTAATAGTGAGTTAGTGTTAAATAACTATGATATAGGTGACAGATATGTTATATTTCTAGGTGGTGTGCTCGCCAGGTGGGCGGTGGCACGCGCCATCTACCCCTACATGGTGTCAATCGGTCTCGTCTACTTCACCACGCTCAGCCTCTACCCCGGCATAGCATCTGAGGTTCCCTCCTGTCGTCTCGGTTCCTGGATGCCTATCATACTCATGTCAGCGTTTAATACCTTCGATTTCATTGGCAAGGTAACGAATAAACTATGTGATACTGAGGGTAGTAGTAGTAAAGTTGCATGTTGCCGAAACATTCACACAAAATGTTTATTATTGTAAAAAGCCTTTGTCCAACATGTCTTAGTAAGACGCTTATAAATCAAAGTACTTTCTG